TCAGAAGCCTTGGAAAATAAATTCCAAAAAATGTGTGAGCATTTCATGGAGAAAACGAGAAGACGTTAGTGAAGGACTTAAGACCCATGCAACGTCCATAGCCAGAAATACCTAATATTGAAAAGACCTCAATTCTCCCTCCTTGCCCCCAAATAAGCCACGCTCTAGTCTCTCTTCCAAATAAGACCACAATAAATAACATTCTTCTACTCTGGGAGCAATAGTGGCAAGGGGACACAGAGGAAAAATTATAATGTATAAACCAGGAAAACGTATCATCTTACCCGAACAGTTTAAACTTAAACGCCAGTTTCTAGTCTATAATGCCCAGCCAAGAGCACCTTGCCTTCTACATTCACTATTTTTACAAGTTCAAATGTCCCTCAGATGATGACCTGTATTTCCAGGCAAATTCTCTGTATTTGCTTTTAAAATCAGTAAGCGCTTTCAAAAAGCAAAGTGAACTTGAAACAAAGTAGGCAGGCCAGAAGCTAATTTAACATTGTAACTTTATAGTTCAGCATACACTTATTTGAAGTCTGCACAAACTTGCCACTCAGTATTCTTCTACCAGGTTTCTTGAAAACAAGCAGGATACTGCTGGTTCTATACCAATACAAACTATCCTAAGTCCCTAAAGGTCAAGAAGAACAAGGTTAGCCCCCTGAGACTGCCAGGACCAAAAAGATATACTATCATAAAATCCTAATAAAAGTTATAAATTAAAACTAAAGGCAATCCAAGTTGCTTTCCATTAGTATTCCATTGGTAAAGAAGGGATTGAGTAAATTTAAATGAAAAATTGGACTTGGCCCTGTGGAATTATTAATTACCTATAACTGTGGGCTTCCAATTACAATCCCATCTCTAGATTTTGGTACATGGAGTAGGGTGAGTTGCGACAAATAACAACTGTAAATCTCTAACCCAAGCAAGATAGTTTCTGACAATTTAACTCGAAAGGGTAACTAAGAACACAGAGCTTAAGGTTCAACTACTACTGTATAAACTGGGAAGCAGCATGTCAGACTTCTAGTAGGGTAATTTCTGAGCCTCTTAATATATTACTGCATCAGATTCGATGCTGCTGAAATTGGAATTTCAGTTTGAAGACAATGGCAAAAGACTCTATTTTCCTTCTCGCTCAGAAAAAAATTAATTAGAAACAGTAGACATTGTGTGAGAAAGCAGTAAGACAATCTGTATTTTAATGGCGCAGTCACATAAAGAAAAGGCTATGACTAAACACATGAACTATGCAAGCTTCTTGGCGGCAAGACAACAAGGTACTTACCCATACCAGTCCCTGCAGTGATCCCACTAGCCAAGTACCAGCACACCCACACCACATCGACAACGCAGAGGTGAGAACTTTCCTGAATAAAAAAAACTACTGGAGAGGCCGAGTGTCTAGACTCGAGAGGGAGGAAACCTGCCAACATCAGAGAACTTCCCAGTTCAAAGAATGAACTTTTCCCCCAGTGTGAGAGGAAGTGGGGAAAATGCTGTGATTGAGGCCCAACAGTCAGAAGGCTAATCAAAGTTGGGTATATCCTATACCTGTTAATGAGTAAAGCAGCAAATTTAAACTCCTAGCCCTTCAGAATACACAGTCTAGTGCCTTAGTCTAACTGTCTATAGTATTTTATTGGCAGTACATTAAGAAGCACATTAAGAAAAATAAATCATTGATTTCTCTTAGTCCCTAGCTTTTTTCAAGAATGTAAGACAAAAGACCAGTGACCTATATCCCTAGAATCAAATAGGGACAATCTCTTTGACAGGCTCCCAAGTCTTCCACATGAGTTTTTCTTAAGTCTCTCTCTGTGGTTAGGCTGCTACTCATGGGAGCCCTCCTTCCTGACCCTGGTATCTCCAAGCAGATGGTGATAACCTGAACATCTGTTATGTCCAGGCTTCATACTTCCAACCATCCCCTCCCGGACATCTCCCTTGTGCACTCCATTACCCTCAAGTCAGCCCATCCATAACTAAAGTGACTGTATTTTTCCTTCTCTGGCCAAACCTCCTCTTCTACCCTGACTTTCCCTGTCACCTAAAAGCACTGTTTGGATAAACCAATTAAGAATCTACTTCCTAATTATCTACTTGCCAAAGGTCCCCCCCTCCAAAAAACAAAAACAAAAACAAAAAAAATTAATCCCTCACATTCCAAAAATTTTCTTCTATAATGTAAGCAACATCACAAAATAATAAATGCTACTATTTATTGGATAAGTTTCCTGTGTGAAATGCTGGGCTTTATATATATGATCGCATTCAATCCAATCTTACCATAAATCCTTGGGGTAGTCATTATAATGCCTGTTTTACATATGAAGTAAACCGAGCTTAAGGCTTATCCAAAGTTAAAAAGATAGCCTGGGAGACTAAGAGTTCAATACCAGATACCACCTCTTAACCACTATATAAAATTGCCTCATCTTACAGAATGCTTTTTTAAAGATTGAGGGAAGGGGGAAACTAGGTATTATTCAGTTACTCTAATAACTAAGTTACAAATTCATTATTTATCATACTGTTCTAGGCCCATGCTACATAAAATTTTATATCTACAGGGCCCCCTGGGTGACTCAGTGGGTTGAGGCCTCTGCCTTCGGCTCCAGTCGTGGTCCCAGGGTCCTGGAATCGAGCCCCGTATCAGGCTCTCTGCTCGGTGGGGAGCCTGCATCCCCCTCTCTCTCTGCCTGCCTCTCTGCCTACTTGTCATCTCTGTCTCTCAAACAAATAAATAAAATCTTTAAGAAAAAAAAATTATATTTAGAGATTCTCTCAAAACACAAATCTGATCTAAAAGACCAAACCAGAAGTATCTTTTGGTGGCTGTCCCTTCCTTATATGATAAAGACAAACTATTTCACCATCTGCCTCCAACCCTACCTTTCAACTAGATCTTCCAGTATTCCCAGCCACAGTCCCCTTCCCCACATACACACCTTTTGAAGCTAAGGCTGTATGCAACTAGTAATTCTCACTCACTCTCCTAAGGCCGGGTCAGTGGTCAGTTTTCTCAAGGTAGCCTTCCCTGACTTCTCCAGGCAAAAGTAACTCCTCCTCCTTCTGGCTTCTACAGCAGGCTTTTCATTCATTCCTAACTTGCAGCACATGTATCTATGAACATACACATTACACTCACATACATGTATCATCAAATTTACTACAGATCCCAAAAAAGAGAGTCATCTTCTCTTTTCAAATATTTGGACACATATACAGAAACCTCATATATTTGTGTACCTATAGGCAAAGGAATTTGTGCAGTAATCCTTCCTCTTTCTGTTCCTTCCTCTCCCTCTTTCTTATCCACCCCTTACCTATACCCTATATACTCTACAGCAGATTTTTTAAAAAGGAAATACACTGAGGTCAAAGTGAATATTTCCAAATATAAAACCAATGACATGGTTTACTAGGACTACAGTTAGGATCAACCAAGTGGCGTCCAATATATATTAATGGTTGTTACATTTGCATTTAAAGAAGTAGGGCTTTTCACTGTACTTTAGGTAGGAGAAATGGCATTACTAAGAACAGGGTCAAGGAATCAGGATTCAAAATGTATCACATAAAAACCAAAGGTGAATGAACGATGGACACATTTTTAGATCTTTACTTCCTCCGCCACCCCCAAAGTAATAGATGTGCTTTTCATAGCCATAATTGACTTTTAAATAGATAAATCACAGCATAACCTTATATAACTAAACTATGTATGTCATTTTCAGATTGTTTTTCTCTCCACACCTTATATCCTAAAATATTTTGATTGTAAAATATTTGGTTTAACTTCAAAACATGTTCTTTATTACCATTTAACAAAAGGAGGGAGGGAGGGAAAAGGGAAGGAAGGAAGAAAAGAAGGAAGGAAACGAAACTACAGACAACAGAATAATCTTAGCCTTTCATGGTTCAAACCCTGAAACCCAAAAATACAGGTTACTTAGCTTCTAAAAGTTATTTCCTTTCTCTACCCTTCTAATTATTCTCAGAAGCACACAGGAACAGAGATTTAAGAAAACGTGCATATTCTTCAAGAGTAGTCCTAAAGCAGCAAGGGAAAAAAAAAAAACCCTCAAATACCAGGAAGGGTAGTGGAGAGGGGCTGCAGGGTGCAAGGAGAGACCAGGTTGCCAAAGAAACCAAACAGCAAAGAGTAAGAGGAAAAATCATTAGTTGGAAAACCTCTGAAATGCTGTTTGTAGGAGCTCAATCCCTTGTCCTAAAAGACACGCAGAGAAGAGACCAATTGTCCGATTGTCACAAATGACAAAGGGAGCCCAGAGCACACCAACTGCCTTTTCTAAATCACGCAGCACACATGTATCAGTGACCATGAGAGAATGAGAAATCTAGGATGAATCTTGTGACTTCGTTGAAACCCAAATTTTGTGTTACTTTTTAAAGACAGCTTCTGTCAGCCTAGCATTTAAGTAGATGTAAGTGGTATATTCAAACCGATATAAATATAAAAGATGTTATTGTTTATAATATAAAAATATAATATAGTAATATAAAATAAAATAGAAAATTTATGTAAAATATATACAATATAAAAATTAAATTAAATTAATATTTAAAAAGTTACTGTTTATAATATGACCTAGGTAAAGAAACTCAGCAAACCAGAAACATTTATGAAATCAACTAGCCTCCCTTGCTCCAGCCTTAAAATCCCATCTAAAGCTGCTTTGATGTGTCTCGGTTTAGAGTGGAAAAGTGAAATTATGAAGTATCATTTACAAGTAACCAGTAGTCCCTGGTTTTGAAGAGTTCAAAATGAGCAAAACTACTTAAAATTCCCAAGCCTAACCGTTATTCTAAGGCCGCTAAACCAATGTTGTAGGTAAGGACCTGGGGAATTAATATAGGAGGAAAAAAAATCACATAGACGAAAAGAATGTTAGTTTTATTTTCTCTGGAAAACACAATATAGGGGCTAAGACCCTGTTTCCAAAGCCAGACTGACTGTTCTACTCCTTCTGGCTGTGTGACGTCCAAAAAGCAGCTTGCCCTTTGCTGTGTGCTGTGGTTTCCTCATTCGTTAAGGTGAAGATAGTTGTAATATCTCACTCACAGGGTAGCTGTGAGGTTTAAATGAAATCATATTAAAGTACTAAGGACAAACAGTGCTTAGTCAAGATTCCATAAATGATCATCAAATCCCTTTGAGACTGCCACATTAACCTTACCTCGACACCATAACATCCACGCAACTATCCCCTCAGAGATCCCTGTCAGGCGCATCTTCCTAAGACACTCCTTTCACGGCACATCAGGAACCCATGTTTGCTCATACCAAACTCAAATTTACGGGTCTGGCTCTCAAGGTGCTCTAAAACCTGTCCGAACACAAGCCCCCCAAAGAATACCGCCAAACAATCAGTCCTGTTACCACTCATCACTCATCTTTGCACAAAACTTACCTCTTTTGTTTCTGCCTCTGTAGCACCCACTGTTTTTCTCAAAGGCCCACTTTCCAGTCACGTCCTACTCCTACTTTCTACCTGCGCAAATGCTATCTATCCTTCCAGAAAACAATTCAGATTCTTTGAGTAGGTGCCAATATTTTGATCCCCTAGGGATCGCTCCTTAAGAACCTCTTAAGAACCTCACCGCAAAGGATAACCTTACCCTGTTCTCTAACCGTGCTGTTAGCAAATTCTATAAAGTAAAAATCTCCTTCAGGGCATGGGGTTCTGTCTTCCCTAAACATCATTCACAGTACCCAGCAAAACACGGTGCACCTTCAGAAGCCTTTCATTCACTTGTTTGCACAACTAAGCACGAGGAACAAAATTTTATTCAACAAACACAATGAATAATAAATCAGTTCCATATTACAGCTTGACTACGGCAGGAGGGTGGAAATCAGAAAATATTCTCTTAAATGTCGCTGTAATTTTATGACCAGAAAAATACCAACATTAACTTGCCCAAATCCAGTGAGAAGGGGAGGATCCAACAGGAAGAAAAATGGGGCATTTCTCCATCCTTGGTACTGAAACAATAGACAATGGGGAGCCGTCTCCACAGTGTTAAGCTGTTGATGGAAGCGTGCAGACTTAAAATTGGCAGGCTCCTGGGGCGCCTGGGTGGCTCAGTGGGTTAAAGCCTCTCTGCCTTCAGCTCAGGTCATGGTCCCAGAGTCCTGGGATCGAGTCCCGCATCGGGCTCTCTGCTCGGCAGGGAGCCTGCTTCCTCCTCTCTCTCTGCCTGTCTCTCTGCCTACTTGTGATCTCTGTCTGTCAAATAAATAAATAAAATTAAAAAAAAAAATTGGCAGGCTCCTGTTTCCTGACCAGTGTCACATTCATCCACAACAGTATCATAGAAGACCTTTTCACTTGATTCCATTATCAAAAAAGAGCTCCCAAATCTATCCTAATGCAAGCAATTTTACATCTCTCTGAAGTTAACAACTTGAGGAAACAAGATTCAGAGGAACCACTGGCCGTTATTATTAGATTACCTCTCTTGAGATACATTCACAGCCAGTCTTCCTTTGTCTTGCCCTGCACTTGACTCCTTAGCAACTAGGCTGTGAGTAGGCCTAAATCCATGCACGTGAGCAGAGAGGTGCAGAGCAAAACACTGCTGCGGTGCTTAGCCGGCTCATCTGGATCTAACGGGGTGGGCATTCTGCAGGAAGGCAAGCGAGATGCGGGCAAACGGAAGGCCCCAAACAGCGGGGTATCTCGTACGGACATGCGAGGCAGTAAATGCAAACGTAGACCTATGCATGCTGTATCATCTGAAAGCCATTTTGTTCAGTATTGTACTTAAACACAGACTCATGCTACAGTGGCTTAAATTTTTAATAAAAGGTAGAAGACCTAGACTACTAAAAAAGACAAATACGGCATTTATTCATTAATGTATTCATATTTTACTTTGATTCAAGAAATGCTTAAATACATAGATAAATACACATTGGGTAAAATACAGAATGGTGAAAAGAAAGGCGAAGAGAAAATGAGATTAGGAAGATGAGATTTAAAAAAGGAAGGGGTTAGTATATTAAAATGAGAATATTAGGACCTTTAACGTTTTTGCAGACAGAGACAAAAACAGACAGAATACTATGAATTTGGAGGAACAACGGATCTCAGCCAATCAGGACAATCAGGGAAGGCTGGGACCCAAAAGGGCACAACAGTGCCATTGTTGACAAAGAATGTTGCTTCCTTTATTTATTTATTTAAATTTTTTATTTATTCCTTTTTGAAATGACAAAGTTGAACACTTGATCTTCCGGGGGGAAAAGTCTATGAAAAGATCTAGAAAACTCCTGAACAGGTTTGATCCTTTCTTCATCTACACCCTTTAGCACTCAAAGCATCTATATTACTTCTTCCCAGGTCTCCCATGATCTCGGTAACACCAATGCCTACAGCAATGTATCAAGCACACACTAGGTGCTTAATAAATGTCTGCTGAATCCATTTAACAACCCAATGATTTTCATGGTTTTACTAACCTCTGAGGTCAATTAAAAGTTTTTCCCCTTCTACCATTTTTAGAAATGCCTGGAAGACCTAGAGGAAGTTGAGATGCTGGCGCATCATTAATGTCCCAGTGCAGTACCCCTGTACTAATCCAAAGAGATCCAAAGGGTATTCTCTGTACTAATCCAAAGAGAAGCTTTCATGGGCTCAAGGGAAAGAAAATAAGGAAAAGACTGACAACTGCTGTTTAAAAAAATACTTGTCATTCTTCTTCCTCTTATCTAAGGTGGATTTGGGGTGTAAATAGAAACAAATGTTTAAAAATCTCAATTTCTCCATAATGAAAGGCAGGAACTTTGACCACAATCTCACAGATAAAGAAACGAAATGGTGGAAAAAAGCTGTGGCTTTCATCATTTCCTCAACCAACTTGAGCACATTTGCCTCAGAAAGCTCCCTCCTGGCACAGAGAGGTCTCATCTTGCACTCTTTTCATATCTCCAAGACTACTGAAATTGTTCACAGAATCACAATTTCTATGTGTGCTGTTACATGAGCTTTTTATGTGATGAGTACAGTAAAGGTATAAATTATTGGCCATACAAAAATAGAAATTCAGCCATAATCTCAAGGGAGTCCAGAAAGCTTGCTTTTTTTTTTTTTTAAAAGATTTTTTAATTTATTTATTTGACAGACAGAGATCACAAGTAGGCAGTGGTGGCGGGGCGGGGGTGGGGGGCGGTCTCCCAGAGCCCAATGCAGGGCTCGATCCCAGGACCCTGGAATCATGACCTGAGCCAAAAGCAGAGGCTTTAACCCACTGAGCCACCCAGGCGCCCCAGAAAGCTTGCTTTTAACTACACTGGAGAACTTTCTAACTACACTACAGAGAACTAACTTTACTAAGTGATCCATTTTGAACAAATCAAAGAGAATACTGACCGCTATAGGTACACAACCCTCAAGAACATAGGTATATGAAGTCAAGGCACATTTCAAATCAGATTCCAGATCTACACAAGTCATGACAATTCTTAGCTTTTAGTTCAACAGATTTATGAAGGAAAATATTTTATAAACATAGGAGAACCAAACATGCCTAGATTTTGACTGTAGAGTTAAAAATATTAGAACAGTTCCAGAATTATTGGTTCAGGTCCCAAGGGTAAATCATTTTTATGTTTTTATTGGTAGACAGGGCTTCCTTCTAGGTCCTTCACTTCTCTACAGTGAGCTGTAATAACAGGGCAAGTGTTCGATATTTGAGCCATAAACAGATGTTTGCACTCCAATTACGGTTCTAAAACTTAAATGTCTGTGACTTTTCTGAAGTTGTAACTTCACGTACTCCAAAATTCTTCAAAATCTGTGATTCCTCTAAGCTCACGGTAGATCAGCAATGGCAAACAAATGACAATCTTAACTGCTCTCTAGCCGCTCTGGATGACACTTGTTTTAGATCAGCTTCAAGTTCAGCGTATTTGTGTGCTTGTGAGATCAGGATGAGTATGATCCTGTGAGACACAGGATGGAGCTGGATCTCTAAGAAGGTCTTTAAATGAAAAATATTCTGGATCTGAAGAAGCCATTCAGTCACAGGCTTCAGTGGTCTGCACACTAGCAGTCGGACTTTAAATACAAACCATCTTTCCATACTTGGCTTCAACTTAGAGTCTTCCCAAAAGAATCCCATCAACTGGCCATGCTAGGGGTACAAAATGAGGAAAATCAATCAACATTTTCATCCCCCTCCTCGCATTACGTGCAGCTAATCCGATGGTAAGTTCACGACATCAACTCTGCGGACAATTCACTGAAAGCTGAGCACCCGGACACCTCTTTGTGTTTGTTCCGTAAAATAAAGTATTTTTACTACGAAGTGGTGTGTGTTTGTTGTAGAAAATTTAGAAAACAGATCAAAGAAGGAGAAAAAGATTCTGCTACCACTCACAGAATACAACCACTGACATCTAAGTGACCAGTAAGACAACTCTGTCACCTGGTTCAGTGGCTTCTACCACAACCTCAGCTCCACCACCATCACCGCCCGTCCCGGGTCCACCTGGATTACCGACTCAGCGGGTCTGCCTCAATGGCTTGAAGGTATTCGTAATTTTTTCCTGTGTAACAGGTCTATCAACAAAAAATGAAACTCTACTGTATATACATACCTTATGGAATGTGCTTTTTCCACTTAGGAACACATATTGTTTATCTTTCAATGTCTCTAAATAGTTTTCCACAGTCTATAATCGATCTCTCAGGTTGGGACTTCTAGGGTTTTGGGGCGAGGTTTTGTTTGTGTTTGCTATTCTCAACAATGTTATGGTAAATATTCTCACGGCTACATTCTTATTTTGACGGGTGGTCATTTCTATCAGACAAACTCCTAAAACCAAAAGTGCCAAGTCAAATAATTTACACTTTTAAAGCCATTGCTACATTCTTCATACACACCCCTAAAGTTGGACCTCCCTAGTCCCCAACCCTGGAGGTGGCGCTGAGAATGGCCCGGTTTTAAATAAAACTTCACTGTTTGGACAAGTA